GGAATATCGCGCTTCTGACAATCGCTGCGAGTGTGTGGGCTAAATTTGGAGAATCCGTGCTTCTCGCGTGGACAACTGTACGTGGCCGGCTCATACGTCGGAAAATCTTTTGATTTATTCGTGTACGCACCAAACGGAAAAACAAAAAATATTGTGTATCCACGAGCACTCCAATAAATAAATAGAATTGAAACAACACTTTGAAATGTTTTCCCAATGAAAACGAATAATAATAATAAGTTTCAATAAAAATGATAAAATGAAAATTTAATTTTATCATTACGAGTTTGCTTGAATTTCGTTTCTTCTGAGATCGCAGCAATGCGCGACGGGTAAGCTAGTGCAATATACACTGAGTATTCACTGAATTGTGATTATCCCCACAGTAAATAGTTTTAATTCTAAAGTAACAAAGTGTAACATTTTTGCAATTATTCTTATTTTATTGTAAGGAATATATACTTATCAACAAGTCCAGCATATTGTCATTTGAATAATGGACAGGGGTAAAGCTTTATCACCTTTCCAGAAAGATATGATTGTCAGTGATAAGGCAGCAAGTGCCTCAATTTCAAAATATGTTTAATATAGGCTGCAGCAGGGCAACTGTAGTGAAGATGTTCATAGAGTGGTGGAACAGTGGCAAAATAAACTCAAAATAGACAAAATTGTATAGAGTAATGGAAGGTGTCAAACTGGGTGAGCCTAAAGTGAAATGACTCAAAGACCAATCAAAACATCAACATGCATGAATTGACATCACAATATAACCATGGGAGTGCAACATCAGGTGGCACACCAGACACCTGCTACTCACCAAGCCTTACCAGGAAAACTGGCATCTGTGGGCTCAAGAACATGACAATTGGACCATTGAGGATTGGAAAAAGATGTGTTAGTATGATGAGTCAAGATTTTTACTCCATCATGCTGATGGTTGTATGCAGTTATGGTGCCAACTACACAAAGCAATGGATCCTGCATACATAATAAGCACTGTCCAGGCTGATGGCAGTAGTTTTATGGTCTGGGGAATTTTTATCTGGCATTGACTGGAACTTCTGGGGAGTAGACCATGCAACTACAGTGATTTATTGGGATACACTGAGATCATGTATATCCCACTTTGTTGCACTTCTACTCAAATGGAAGTGGCATATTCCAGCATGATAATGTGAGGTGCCACCAGGAACATGTGCTAGAGTGGTTGTAAGAACATTTCAATAGCAAGAGAAATGTGGAGTGGCCTTATGGTCTTAACCAGATCTAATCCAGAATTTAAGGGACACTATGGAAACCACCTGAGTGTGCTGAACCAGCACTGACCTTTCTTAGCTTGTTGTGGACTGCTCTGTAAGACGTATGGTTACACTTACATCTAAAGTGAATGACTTGCAGGATGGCTGAACTAGTTGACAACATAAGCAAAGAGAAATCAGGGTTCAAAGTGATGAAAGTCAGCTAGATTGTGAAGTACATTTTAATGTTTTCCCCAATATACTAAATTAAATATATAAAACAAAAACTATTAAACAGAGAAAATAAAACCAAATAATTAGGAAGGTGTATAAATTTATGCTATTTAGACATTCTAACCAAAGAACTGATGTAATCATTGAAATAGACAAAAAAATTGAAAGAAATATCTTGAAATAAAGCAAGCAAGCAAGAAAACACTGATAAAAATATGTAAAAAATCTGCCAACAACATTCCTAGCATACCATATAGTATCTAGTATATCTAGTATAGATAAATGAGAGAATTAAAATACATCTAGCTGCACCCAAAATATATTCTATTACAAAAAAAAAAAAAAAAATTAAAACGGACCTAAATAACATGTAGGAAAGAAGAGGAATGAATATGAAAAATTATATACTGAATATGAATGTAGGAATGTAATGATGGATGTAGAAAAGTGATGAAGCTTTGAAATAGAAATAACATATGTCATGGTTGAAAAGCAGGGGAAAATGCTCCCTATCCATCCCACTTTTGATATCACATCATTGCTCCAATTTTAAGATATTCATAAATTGTCTTAATTTTATTCTAAAATAAAGTTATTTTTTTCAAATTACATTAATATAATCAATATTATAAATTTAATTCATCAATAAACACCTTGAGCTGCTGAGAAGCATTTATTTGCTATACACAAATGTTTTCATCCTAAAGTATGGGTCATCATCAGATATATAAATTAATTATAAATTTAATTATAAGTAATTACATATGCAAATAGAAAAAACAAGAATTTACTTTAGATTTTTAAAATAAATTTGAAATTTATCATTTCAATACAGTAAAATTCATATAATTGATGAAATCGATCATTTTACTTACATCTAGCATATGTCACTATGCTATTGTTTCATATGGGCTTTCCTAGTGTTCAATCATGATGTCAAACAAGTATGTGTCATTTTTTGAACAGGTTTTAGCATAACTGTGCAACTCAGTCATGAAAAGGAACAATGTTTAGACAGACACTTAGTCACTTGTACACTGAAAGCACTGCATATTCCATGCCATTAGTATAAATGTACTGACTTGTTTAAGATTTGAAATATTAGTGATTCCATGCAAACAAAATTATGAGTTCTTAAAGTCAACACTGTCCAACTGACGAGGATGGTAGATCCCTCGATTACATACTTAAAAGGTACTCTACTGCAAAGATCGATGATAAGCTGGCGAGAGCGCTGGACTCTAAGTACAGTAGGTAGGCCAACCTACGCCTTCGTGCCTGTAGTTGGCCTCACACCGATAAGTTGTTGCTCGTTGTCGACTCAAATCTTAACTGGCCACGGGAGGTTCCCCCACTTCAAGTCCAAGTTTGGACAAGGAGATGGTAGCTGCCCCTGTGGTAGTCCTCGCGGTGACACGAGGCATTACGTACTTGACTGTCCCCTAACAAGGGACTTCCGCCTAGGGGCGGACCAAGTTGACTTGTCTAAGCCCCCTGAACAAGTACTTCGAACGCTAGCAGCTAGTAAAGGGAACCTAATGAAACTAAAGGAATTGATGAAAAAAATCATAATCTCTTCGATCTATAGGTTTGGAAGGCTTGTTTGGGTCCCCTCCCTTAGGGGTGGGGGCCCTGCTGTCCGTATACCTACTACATGTAGGTATAAGTCTGAGTAATTAGTGCATGTGTGAGCTGGAACAGGTTTAGTAGTGTGGACCATAAGTGCAGTACAGGCTGCACAAACAAAAGTTATGCCAAGTTAGTGAGCTGGGCCGGGGTGCGGACGGGAGCCCGAATGATGTATCATAGGGCCCAGCTATGTCAGCCCTGTCTACCGTGTCAGGTACCGACCAGTCGATGAACAAGGCATNTCAGGAAATACAGAGTCTAACATCTAGAATATCCGCCGCCGGGAGCCCGAATGATGTATCATAGGGCCCAGCTATGTCAGCCCTGTCTACCGTGTCAGGTACCGACCAGTCGATGAACAAGGCATAGTCTCTTTAAAACCTGTAGTGCCAATAGGTGGGGCAGGGAAGGAGTTGCTTTATGAGACTGTCCAACCGGTAGCCTACTGTATCAAATTTCATCACTCTTTAAACCAATGCCATAACAGTAGGCACTTGCATGCCTTTCTAAAATAAACATTTTGCTTATATCAGTTACCTGACAAACCAGTTCTTAGAGATACTCTATCTGATCCATGTAGTCTTCAATGTCTTGTTTTGGTCTCACATCATAACATATGGCAATGGATATGATTTGGCATACATGCATTTCTAAAGACAATACATATATGCCAAATTTCTTATATCAATTCAAACTTTCTATTTATAAGCATCATATCAATGACATAGAAACTGATATTGAAACACTGCATTTAGGAATTCACCAAGTTAACACAAGACAAGTTCCCAAACATCTTGTTGCATTAGCATGCTTATCCAAAAAGTATAAAATATTGTTATATAGTAAGTAAAAATAATAAGTTTTACATGGCCAACGATTATTTAATATTAATATAATAAATATAAGTACGACTCTTTTACAAAAAAAAATTTTTTTTTNAAAATGATAAATAGTGTTGTTTTAAATTATGTTTATTTATCATTCTTTCACTTGATTTTCATTTTTAGACTGGTTTATTAACAATGGCCCTTAAATTGAAGGCATGAAAGTTAATTGTGAGAGGCTTGGAAGGAATTAAAACACTGTACTTTGAAAAAAAATTTTGTCATTAGACTATGCACTCTCAAATTTATGCTATTGCATAACTAACATTTTTAATACCTCAAAATTCATGTAATAACATGACTTTTGAGGTGTTTTCAATCTACAACAAGAGAAAGACGTTATGGGTGTCACAATTTAAGTATTTAAACATTAATTAAAGTAACATGTGACAACTTGTCATCACAAAAACATTGTTGCCCATAACAGAAAAAGTGAGAAATAATAATACATTCCCAAAATAATTGAGAAGCAGCAACTAATTTAAAAATAGTGAGAATAGTGATCCGTTCCGAGGCCTGCTCTGTATCTACTAGATTACAATACACACAGTGTAGGCTATATAAAAATTGGGCTAAATGCATTTATGTGCTAACTCTCTTTCCTGGAGACCAATTGATGATAGAATATTACACTTGAAATAATATGTACTTTTATATGTTTTTTTCTGGTAAATAGTCAATAATCTTTGAATTTTTAAACAAATTATTTTATTTTTAAAACATGATTCTAACTTTATTTAAATAATAAAAAATTTTGTCTGGAATGTTTTCTTGATGAAGAAGGCATTAGTTACAATATTTAATAAATGAAAAAAGCCATTATTTAAATATTTATTCTCAGATATACTGTTTCATCCTGCTTATGAGTACAGCATAATACAGGTAATGTCTGTCTGGACAATAGCAGTTACAGAAATCAGTCAGCAGTTTAACCAATTTTAACACTTATCAATACTAAAAATGTATTTGTTTTTTGTTTTAATTCATCTAGCTTGCAGAAGTCATTACACAGAAATGAAACTGTTAACTGTTAAATAGTGATATCTTTAAATACATACATATATTTAAAAAAAATAAAAAATAAAAATGTATTTTCAATATCCTATAAAAAGAAAAAATTATTGAAATATTAAAGATTCATTGTATAGGAATTTTGAATTGTTTCAAGATAAATTTCATATTTATCCCATTGTTTAAGTTTTACTGTTTAATATTGTAATTTTATAATTAAAAATAACAAATGCATATAGATAATCAAATGACCTTGTACACTATGGTTTTAGGGATTACTGAATCAAAGTTTTACATTGAATATTTAAATTTTAAACTTTAATTAGGCAATGCTTTCTAAATATATTTAATGCTTTGTTTATTTCTGGATAGCTTACTATTCTGAAAAAATAAAAATTTAAACTTAAATTCAAAATGCATGCCATAAGGTAAAAATATATTTCACACACAAATCAAAATCTATTAAATATAAAAACTTCACATTTTAATAAGCAAAATCATATTCAAGAATGGATGTAGGATTTAGGTGGATGGTAGGACAAGTTAGGCAGACATATTGGATTTTTAAACTAGATCTTTGTATTTATTCTGTTTTTCTTTCAAAAACAGAACAAGTGTTTTACTCAAGAAACAGAACTTTGATTCAGTCAATATTGAAATGATCTGTTCAGTTGCTCTATAAAGGAAACCAAGCAGAGTGAAAATTCCTATGTTAGGTTTAGGTATTCAGTTAAAAAAATTCACATCACTTTAAAAAATTTGTGAACTAAAAAAATCTTAAATAGCAGTCTTGGATTCTCAGAAAATCTTACTATAACTTCCATCTCAAACTCTTTCTTCTCTAAAACTAATTCCTTGTGTATGCTCACTAATGAGCACTAATGAGGGGTATCATATGTATATCTCCCCACTGATTTTGATGAATTTTGGTATGAAGATAGTGTCTGATATGATAATGTAATCATCCAAACCATTTCATTCTATATATCATAATGTGAAATTATGATCTATAGAATGTGAAACTATTTCTCATGGTGAATGAATACTACAGTAGTTCAGTTATATGGATGCCAGTTGCTCAAGAAGAGAGGAGCAGAAAAAGAATGTTAATGAGTGTGTTTGTTATCTATACTGTTATATCGTATCACTCATTAAAATACTAACACAACTGTTATTTGAAGAGAGAGAGAGTAGTTTATTTAATATCAACTGTGGTTAAATTTTTAAGTATAACAAATAGTTAATTAATTTGACTATATTTTTCTGTGCTACCCATTTGGAATGTGTGCATCTGATTTTTCCAGAACTGTTACTGTTATCTTGTGCCTCTTTAAATCCTAATGTTGATGGATATGAATACACCTACATACCACACTGGTTACTTGAAAATTACTTGAGCATTCTGAAAAGGAAGTGACTAGAAGACAAATATATTACATTAATATCCAAGTTTTGCCCAATCTCCTAGCTGGACTGAGATAATACACCTATACTACCATAGTGAAATGTTCCAAGTGGTACCAGAGAATGACATTCTTTTGCTTTTGCCAGGATTTGAATTTAGTTTGTTATTATTATTATTATTTATAATGTAAATTTTTGTAATTTTTTAAAAGATTTATGGGGTCCTAGCCCTGGGCTGCAGCTCCCTGGCTACACCATTGTCTTATGTTTTTATTTCATAAATTCAAAAGATAATTAATAATAGATAAAATAACTATAATAATTTTAACTACTTACCAATCATTGTTGTGTAATCCGTAGCACCAAATATCAATTCTGGAGCACGGTAATAACGCGAACAAATATATGACACGTTGGGTTCTCCCCTAACTAAGTGTTTTGCACTATAAAGAATATTAAAATTTAATTAAAATTTAAGTTATCTACAACAATATATTTTACATAAATGTAAGATTTACCTTCCAAAGTCACATAATTTTAATACACCTGATTCAGGATCTAAAAGAAGATTTTGTGGTTTAATGTCACGATGGCAAATTCCTAAGGAATGAATGTAAGCTAGACTTCGGAATAGTTGGTACATGTATAACTGAAACATCAATAAAACATGTAAGAACATCTATAATTTCATAAAAGAATTAACAGCAACACTATATATACCTTTATAAAAGATGTCGGTATGGTTTGTTTTGACTTGCTATAATGCCTAGCTACTCTGTACACAGTTTCAGGAATAAACTCCAATACCAGATTCAAATAAACTTCATCTTTCTATAAGTTAAATATATTACCAGAATTTTAATAATTTTTAATTGATAATAATTAAATTTTAACAGAAACTTAACAGTTAATAGAAACTAACAAATTTATGAAAATTAACNAAACTTATTATTTTTACTTAAAATGTATTATGTGATTGTGGCAAGAACACCAGATGATGCTTTTATCATTTTTGCATTTTAACTACGGAGGCAATAGCCTAAAAAGGAAGGTTGTCTCCGTGAGTATTTGTGGTTTTTATGAACTGCTGATGGTGCAAACAACAAAAGAAATGACTGAAACAAAAAAAATTTTTTTTTTTTTGTAAAAGAGTCGTACTTGTATTTATTATATTAATTGTTATATAGTGTTTAGAGAGCTATTCCTATGTCTGTAATTTACATATGACTTTCATAGAAACTATGGAAAATTCATAGTAGTTTGTATCTCTGGATTACTCATATAAAGAATTGTAAAACAAATTTAAAATGGTCTTAGTCACCAATACAAAATGTTAGTGTTAGCTATAAATGTAACTAAAAATTCAACTCTTATCCCATCTTTAGACTTTGACATTTGTTTGTTAATTATTCAATAAGTTTTAAATTAATATATCAATATCAATTTTTACTAAAATATCAAATTGTCAATGAATAAGATTCATTTTTTAATTATTAAATAACTTTATCAAAACAATTTAATTATTGAAAAATCTAATACATTTAGAAAATCTATGAACTTATTACTACATATTATTGCATAAAAACAAAATATTTTAAATCAAACCTTTTGCCATGGATGTGCTTTAATCTGTGGAAATTTAAATTCTGTATAATTCCGATTCATTTCTCTGATTTGTTCCTTTGTAGGTGTTCCAAGCACTTTAATTATTTCCACTAACTGATCTACACCACTATCACCTGGAAAAATTGGTTGTCCTAGTAGTAGTTCTGCTAGAACACAGCCAGCTGACCAAACATCTACAGAGAAAATAATTTGAAAGTAAATAACTTAATATTGCTTGAATAGATATTTTTAAGTGTAAAAAAAATGTTATTTTCAATAGTTTATCATATCTTAAATGAAAAATATATTTATTGAAAAATTATTATATATCTTATATTGCATTACATTTTAACTTTAACTAATTAGGTAGTGAGATAGCATTGTAACTTCATCTCTTCAGGATGACTCAAATGATGAATGCACTCGTGACAGACTTTGATTTTTGGCGTTCTATTGTGTTGGATAGTTTCAACCAGTGATTTCTTTTTGTTTTTGATATTAGTTTTATTATTGTTATTCCTTTTTTAGTTAATTACCATTCATTCTATTTCTTATCTGTTTAACATCACATTTTGTAAATAAAGTGATTATGTTTAAACTTTATCTTTTTACTTTTCCACAACACATTTTTGGTGGTGGTAATATATCTTGACAAAATTTAGCAAAGTAAAAGACTGAGGGAATTAGGTTTCAAATTTGTCTTATCTAAAAGATCCATTATGGCAAGGGACCAAAACCATCCTAAAAAATCCATCACAATATAGATATGTTGACTAACTGCTTGACCTATAGTCCATGTCCAACAAGCCTGACAACAGCCCCTGATCTATCACAATGAGAAGAACAAAGACACCTACTGCTACATTGACAACTTTGAATTGCTTGCCATAACAATTGGAATAATAAAATCAAGCTTTACAATATATATTTCTTCTTGAAATATACTGCCAAACACTGGTATGTAAACCAGGGGTCGCCAAACTTTTTTAACTGTCGACCCCCAACCACTTTCCAAAACCTCACATTGACCCCCACTGTAAAGTTTTATTACAAGTGTAAGTGTATGAGCAAAAAAAAAAAAAAAAGATTGTGACCCTTTAACCGCATTGACCTCTTTATAGACCCCCCCTAGCTGCATCGACCCCTGGAGGTCGATATCGACCACTTTAGCGACCCCTGATGTAAACCAATGAAAGCCAAATTGTAGACTGGCCATTCTTTCAAAATGCCTTCTTGGAAATTTTTGGACACAACCAAGAGTCAGCCAGGGATACGATACTGCATCTACAGCCAAGTCCCACTGTCAGGAAATACAGAGTCTAACATCTAGAATATCCTTCTCTGTGCTGTGAAGTTGCTGCACTAGTGCCAAACACTGAAGCTATAACACCTGATGATATTGCCAAAGATCTGTTAAATGTTTTGTTGACCACCAAAGGCCAACAAAATATTTAACAAAACAACAAAAGAAGATGAAGACAATGGAAGTTGATGCCTCCATCTTGACTTTCTGCTGAATCAAACAGTTCAGACACCATTAGATGAACCAAAATTGTATATTCTATTGAATATACAATTTTGCCAAACAGCCAGTTTTGATGAGGAATAGCCCAACTTAGCAAGGCTAATCTGAGAAGTCAACAAACAAACAAAAAAATTCCTCCCGCACCGTATCAATGCTATTTTCCAACATTCCAGAGCAGCAGTAAAAAGAGCCAGCTATATCAATATAATTTCCAAGCACACATTTCAATTTCATTTCCATCAAAAGTGCCTTGCCAACTGAAAGGAATAGTACAAAAAAACTGCCTGTCAAATCCACTGATATATTGATTAACCATATTCAGATGTAATGATATCTGGCAAACTGCCAATAATGTACTTGTATGCTTTGTGTCATCAAGTTGAACATGTATGATGATGATATCAAAAGAGCCCATTGAAATATGTTAGACGCTTTACTGCATTATCACAATTAATCTACAATTCTCTTTCAATACTAGAAATGCTAGAGATCAGCTACTCATCAATGCCAGAAGAATGTCCCAATGAAAATTGAGCTTTTTAGTGGTATCTATAAAGCTTCAGCCTCATGAGAAACCAGACATCAAGGACGTGCTGATCAGTGTCTATATTGCCCAGGGCCGCTGAATGCCAAAGTTCACCCAACTGTCTTCTGTGAGAAAACTAAACATGGGCACCTTTGAGGATAGACTTGACTCACTTCACTGAAATCTAACTGCGATTGCCACACCTTAATTGTAGTCTCATTGATCTCTTGATTGGCTCCATCAAAATGCCAACACTCATCAACATGGACCTGTTTCTTATGTCTGATAAATTAAGATGGAAACTGTGTAAAGTTCTCTCTTAGCTTTGTCAATTGTTTCTATTATGGATGGAATCTCAAAGTATTTTTGGTCAGTATATTGCCCAAATAAGAACGAACTAACTCTCATGATTTCTGTTGAATTTCTTGTTGTTTGACCCTGTAGCCAAGACTAAATTTTTCAAAGAAGACCAATGCCATAATCAATTATAGAGATCAGAACATTCACTTAACAGCTGCTGATCTTTCACTTTTGTTACCATTATCTTTGTACTCATCATTTCCAAAGATATCATCTCCAGTTTTTTCTATGAGCTGTTCTTTTCACCCACAACTACCGGATGTTACCTGGGTTTTATCAATGAAAATCAACAATTGGTGCTAGAAGAGCAGCTAGAGCCTAATGAATAGCTTACTTCTGCTTGATGACAATCATCACATAATCTGATCAAAAATAGCTGTCAGACTCAACTTGAAAAGTGGAAATCTAAAAATGAGGCCATTATCATCAAAACCATCACTGAGAATCTAGAACCAGAGGTCACTGAACATCAACTGAATCACTGATTTCAAATGACCAACTGTCATTTGAAATCAATGATCGATGCAGTGTTGACTTTGAAACAAAAAGTTGACATCTTAGCATTACTTTGAAAGTACAGGAGTTTGCTGGAAACACCCAATGTTGGCAAAAAACTGCATCCACACCTGGATCCATCCACTAATCAAACAGAAACCATTCCAATTCTTGTCAAATGAATGAATAATTGTCAGCAAGCAAGTGTATAAGATGTTAGTCCTGGGGTCATACAACCATACAATTCATCTAAATCTATCCTGTTTTTGTCATAAAATTGTCTGAATAATTACAATTTTGACTAAATTACTGAAAACTAAACACCACCCAAAAAATAAAAAAAGCTTATCTGTTCCAAAAACTGATGACACTGCACTGTCTGCAAAAACCCAAGATCTATTCATTAATAGACCTGAATTCCAGATATTGGCAGATAGAAGTGGAAAAATAGGAGAAGATTGTTTTTGTTCCCTGGATAAATTACATAAAATCTGCCACATAAGCTTTGAATTATGCAATGAACCTTCATTCTGGCAGAGTATTAATGGGATTCAACTGAAACAGCTGTCTCTGTAACTAATGCCTGGACTTCACATTACTGGAATCCTCGACAGAATCACAAAACTGACAGCAAGTGACAAAATTTTCAGTTTTAGAACATTCAGTTTAAAAGAAACAAGGCTGAAAGTAAAGTTAAAAATGATTTAACTTTTCCATTTTGTTCCACATTTCTGTCATTCTACAATCAATAAAAATGCATACATTTGTGAGGTGTGAAGTTGTGATGCTGATAAAGACAGAACTTTTGTTCTATCCTTATCATCATCTTATGTAATTTAATTGTTGTAATGGCAGAAAATACAGTAAAGAAAACAAACCAATTTAGAACTATTTATGAAAAAAGCAACTGATCAACAGATGGTGCATTTCCACATAATGTTTATTTTGGCACTAGTGGAGTAAAGTTAAACATAATGATAATTGAAAAGAAAATTCTGTATGTTTCAGTCCTGTTTCTAAGTTTCTGTTTTATGGTAATGTGGCATCCAGGCTTTAGACACCATCATGTTTGATTTGCCATTGATCCTTGATGATCTAGAACCCAGGCTGTGATGGTATGTTTCTGATATATAAATCTGCAACTAAACCCACAGCTTTGAGTTCTAAAGTTTAGAGATCCTTAGTCAACTTATTGACAGGGATTGAGTCTAACCCAATTTCAACAAACTATAAGCATTTTAAAACTATCCCAGGTCAATGAACTTACAAGTAAAGCTTCCTGGAGCTCTGTTTGTATTATCGTCACTTCATAGAAAGTTTTTCTGCTATCACCCTAACTTTCAACTTCATACCTAGCAAAAGCAAAAGCTTCAAATGAGACCTTCAACAATAAAATGTCTTCAATTGATTCAAGACAGCTTTGATTTCTAAACCAGTACTCAGCTACTTTGACATATCCAATGAACTGCATATAAATGCTTCTAACAATGGACTCTGCTACTCTCATTGAGATCCAAGCCAACATCCCATTGTCATCTCCTATGCAAACTAAACATTGACCAAAGTAGAAATGTATTATTAGAAAATTAGATTGCACAAATGAGGCCTTACAGTGAAGACTTGAACAGACGCCATCTCTGGCAAAACCAAAACTCAGAAATTTCTGGTTTTGTTTTCAAGCATGTCATATCTGAGTCAGTTGACCAAAATTAGTGTAACAGGTCATTAATTATCCTTTGCTAAATCTGTATATTTTGATCTGTTCTTTCCTTGGTTTCTTTATTTTTTGTGGAACATAACCATAGTCTAATAAGCACTAGGTCAGTTTGGTAATTAAATGCAGGAGATGCCTATTAGAAAATATATGGTATGTCTCTCTTAAAATATAATTGAGAAAAAAATTGTCTTTATATTTACTGTTCTTTCTAATGAGTTATATTCTTAAATTTTGCAAATTAAAATTTTTAATTGGTTGAAATTATTAATTAAAAAAAAGTTTTCAGAGTCGCAAATTATTAATACTTGAAACATATTATCTATATATATAAAAATGAATGTATGTCTGTCTGNAGTACCTAATTTATATATAATTTATACATAATACTGTACAGGCGATAGCAAACTCAATTTAGCCGCTCTGTAGCGTGGCGCAGGGCAGAGGAAAGTAGTTCTGCTGCTCATCCACTATTGGTCCAGATTCTATCAATCTTGTCGCGAAACGAGTCAGCAACGACGTTTAAGGAGCTCCTTTATACGAATGTTGCTACAATTTTTTCGCAACGTTATAGGAATTTCCGTTATAGGAACGCACGT